AGCCAGCGCTCCGCAAGCCACTAATGTTCCGCGGCAAGCTATGTTTAAACAATTATTGCTCCACGAATACGATACGAATCGATGATAATGTTGGCTATGTCTGCTGCAATAATAGCCCATTTATCGAGTCGGCTGCCATTTCGCCGGAGGAATTATTTATTGCCGCGCCATAAGAGCCACGACGCTTTCAATACAATAGACCTTTTCGATTGGCGACTGTTTTGTTTAATAAAGTGGAAACTTCACAAGCGCTGTGGGTAGATAAGCAGAACGTGGGGCACATTAATAATTCATAAAAGAGTCGAGAGCCATTAATGAAGGCCGAAACCACAGTAGAAATGCGGTGGCGCGGTCCGTTCGGTTTATATCCTAAAATCGCGGTTAAAGTTCATCAGAGTTTTGGGTAGTAGATACCATTATCCGCCCTGTGGTTTTAAGTTGGGATCCGACCATTTGCTGTGTATATTTTGTAGCACTAGGTGTTTAGTTCTACTATAGTATCCAAAGAGAATCTTTGAAACTATTCTCTAATGCAATATCACGACTACGTGCTCTGTCATTGTAGGTCGTTAGTATTCCACTGGCTTCGACTAATGTCTTTGGTGGGTACGCAGTCATGAGCGTGAACGTCTCCTAGAGAAAATAAATTGCAGTCGCGAGACGACCACGACTGAGATTGACCTGTATGTGGGTCAAAGCTCTATGCAAGTTCTAGAGACAGCTGATCGTGAATCTAAATATACATATATATCCCACTGTACATCTTCATTAAATATATTTAAAGTTTTATTATTATATCAGCCGATAACTGTCCACTGTCGAACATAGGTTATCTCTATAAGGGAAGTTTTGCCAGTAGTTATCACGTGATATGGTATCCGCTGTTAGTCTTTAGTGGTGTTTTGAGAGGGAAGAGGGATGCTACTGCCTATCCCTCAGCTATTTTGGTCCCTTAGTCGCCTCTTACGACATCCATGGGAAAAGAAGGGGGGCCCATTCTATACCGGGACCATATCGACATTTAAAGTAATATGAGTAATAAAGTAGTATGTATACATAAATTTTTTTCGCTTCGAAGATTTTGGTTTGGTTACCTACCTACTAACGTAACTAACAATATTTGGGTCGATTTTATTTTATATGTTATGTAAATGAATGAATATACTTACTATATAATACTGGTAGGAAGTGCGTACTCCACATTAAAGACATAAGAACAAATGGAACGTCGCCGGCAAGATGCAGTTTCAGATTAAAAGCTCCAACGGGTAAACCACGTGAAAATAGCACAAAAAGAGGAGTCACCCGCGGCATTAGCGGATGAGTGTCGGAGCCATTAGTGCAGCTCCCGCTTTACCTCACTCCGCACGACCCTCACCGACACCCTCTCACCCCGACCGAAACCAACGTTCCTCTTTTATTTCTCGCGCGGGGATGAACTCCTTAATGACAAACCGTACTATATCTTTTGTGGAGAGCTCGCAAAAGTACGTATTTTGCGGCCCTTTTGTGCGCCAGTTTTTTATTCCACCGTTCGTAGCAGCCGATGTAGAGGTATACGAGGTGCAGATGGGACGTGGATTGTTCGGTTCGTAGTTTCTATAAGAAAAAAGCTTTGATTTGAAACCTTTTGTCGATATTTGCTCTTCGACGTTCCTTTTCTGTAATTAAATGTTTCGGTTAAAGTTTTGCCTCAACCACAATCTGTTACAAATTACGATGGGGCTATTGTAACTTACGAATATATGAACAAAGTTATAGGTTACGTAGATATAACGATATTAATACACTTTAATGTTTTATGCGAAACTTGGCTATCTCTATTTTTAGTTTGATTTCTTTTTAAGTGAATTCCGAAAGAAAGAAGTTCTCGATTCGTCTGTATTTTTATGGTATATATTATTCTGTTTTTCCAATTTTAACCAAATTATGAATGATTTTTACACAATCGATAGAATTTACTCTCGTATTGGTTGGTATACCAACCTATATAGTTAAGGGTGTAAAGATTGCTAGTAATGGGAACCTACCATTGCTAGTAATATACTTATACTATAGCAATTTAAAACAATACTAAATTGTTCATAGATAAATACAACATTATTCCAGCCCAATGTCGGTTTGTGCCATTAATTTCAATCGCCACAGTAACCACGGCCGTGTGTGTGAAATCACATGCTATTAAAAAATTAAGTAGATGGTAGTCGTAATTATGAACTGTAACTTATTAATTTCATCAGCTATTTAAATTAAGTATGGCTATTTTATGTAAGGAACATTTTGTATTTTCACTTTTATTATTGGTAATAGAGCTCAAAGAGCTGTTTGGTATTTTTACATAATATAAAATAAAAAAAGTCAAATAAAGTTTAAAGCATTTACAAAACTATTATTGGATACATATAGTATTTTCGAAGGGATGAAAGGGTTTGTTATCAATAAATATTTACTGTAACTTTTAATAATGTTTACGTTTATTTTTCATATAAATAAATTGTATAGCTCGGATCGTCTATCACTGTGTGTCTGTAATCGGTTAATAGCATTTCACTATTTAACTAAGTTGTAGTTAAATAGTGAAATGTGAACACCTAGTTAAATCACTTCAATTTGGTACGAAACAGAAACGTTTGTATTACATTAAAACTGTCAACCGGGACAGATATTTTGCACGTTAGTGAATTTTCCACAGTAACCGTCAGCGGGCGCGGGCGATGTGAGGCGGCGAATGAAAATGTAATTTGCGGTAATTTGGGCGCGTTCAAAGCTCCGCTGCGGTGCAGCACTACGCGCTCGGATTGTCCACCACACTACCTACTCAAAACCTACATTATATAGTATACTGAAGATAAATTTAATATTTGATTTACACACTAGCTATTGCCCGATAAATTCACTCGCATTTGTTTATAACTTCAAAAAATCTTAGACAAATATGTATTTGGTATAATATTGGTCCACTTATATACGTTCGGTAAAGTACGGAATTGTAAAAAATATGAAAGGTAATCCACACCTTTATATATTTGTTACTTTATGTTTTGTACTTGTTATAAATTTCCCATTCATATATTTATCATGCAACATAATTATAATTTTAAATAATAATGATATTTCTAATAATAAAAAAAAAACTATAGAATCACATATTTATTGTTTCTTTTAAATCTAATAATATTAGCGAGTTTTAATACATCATAATCATTGCTTATTCCCAATTAGGTAGGTATATTGTATATTAGTCGTATAATGACTAAAATGAAAACGTTTAACATTGTGGTGTTGCCGCACTTAACCTTATCACCTTCATTCAAGTAATTATTCATCTGTCTGACTATGATTGTTTTGTCTCTTGAATATTAACTATATGCAACATACATAATTCAACAGTGACCTTTTGATTTGCTCTATTAGCATTTATGTTTTTAAATATGTATTATAATAGGCAATGTTGGCGTACTATGTGTACTCGTACTACCAGTCACGAAGCTCGATGTTTATCGCTCGAGTGAACAAACAATCTGCATAATTTATGTTATGGTTAGTTTATCGCGTTTTTAACTATGCTTATTACGTATTCAAATTTTCATTTTACACTCGACGTTGATGGATTCTCATTGCATAAAATTTACCATAACCGAGATTAAATGCGTTGGTATTTACATACATTTTACATTAGTTTATAAGGATGATTATTTTCAATTGAATTTTAATTAGTTATTAGTTAATATGCCGTAATAAACATATACGTATTTTTTATATCATCTTTCTATGGCATTGTTATCGTGCACAAACTACAAACTCGCAGCTATACCTGTGGATCGGGGGAAAAATAGAAAATAGATAATAATACTTTTCACATTTGTAATATAAATTAGATTTTTTAGTAATATCCATTCTAAAAAACAAAACTACAATAAAGTTTGTTTCCTTGACACTTCATTCACTAATTCTTAGTTGGCTGAAGAGAGAGAGATGATCAAGGAACTCTTGTTCCTTGATCATAAATATGAATATTAATAAAGAGCAATTTTTTTCTACGTAACGTTCAATTTCAATGCAGTTAAAGTGATAATGAAGCTAAAAAATAAAAGTAAACTGAGTGTAGAGACACACACAGACAGTGGAGTAGTAAAATAACAATCGTGATCTAAATCTGAATAGATACTAGCGCCTACTCACATTACTGAACAAACATAATGAATTTAAACAGTTTTCCTGATCAATTCCGTAATATGTAGGCGGAGCTAGCTTTACATCAGCAATGGAGTATAGTTGGCACTCGGAAAATTGTAATTTAGTTGAAATATAAATTATATTTCATTCGGTGTTGAACGTGTCAACTTTAAACGCCCAACGAACGAAATGACAATGACCCGTATCGTTCATTCGAAAATTATATTGCGGCGAGACTTCATTAAAAATAATTTACGGTCTCAAATAGAACGCGTTTATACGTTTTGTATGCGAGGGGCTCGATTATGTTAATTTGTTCACGATTCACTTCGAATCTGTGAATAAAATTAATGTGCATTTAAACGGAAAGTACGAACAAAGCCAATAAATACGTGCGGCTCGGTAACAGCTATTTATCATTTCATTTGACCGCGTACATTATTGTTTATCGTGTTAATTTTATTTGTTGCTCTGCGACTGGTTAGCGGCTCGTCGACTAATTATAATTATACGTTATTATTGAATTTGCTCCGCGCTGAAAATGTGGAAACTTTTTTGACGATGCGGAATGTGAAATTGTGTAACTGAACATAACTTGTTGATAGATAAACATCATTATCAAATGTTAATAATTAATAACGTGTATAAACAAGTCTCAGAATTAAATTAATTAACTCTATTAGGTATGGTTTATTAGCATATCAATGTCTACATAATTTAACTTTTATCGATGAACTTTGTCTCAGTTTTATGATAATTAATTTACAGAGAATTAACGATTGTCCTCAATCCAATATCTTTATTTGGCATATATTATGTTTCAGACGGAGATAGCAAAAAGACTAAATGCAATAATAGCTCAGATCCTGCCGTTTCTATCTCAAGAGCATCAGCAACAAGTTGCTTCAGCCGTGGAAAGGGCGAAACAGGTCACGATGACGGAACTCAATGCCATTATAGGGGTAAGTAAACTTTATACCTAATAATATTAATACTATAACAAGACCGTGTTTGTACTCTGTATTACACAGGATATTTTAAACATTATAATGATAATCTTAGAATAGAGATGTCTATTTAAATGTCAAAATACAAATAGTTGAAATATTTTGTGTTTGTGCACGTATCCCGCAAAAATTGATAGACAGATATCGATATCCAGTGTGGTAACTAACTTCACATATGAATCAATATATAGAACAATGTTACTATACGTTTAAATTCCTCTATCACACGGAAAAAAAAAACCTTCAAAACTCACGAGTATGACATCACTGTCACACCTAATGATCAATATACGTTATTACTTAATATCTGTATCACAAATTTAATTAACCATCTACTTCAGTTCAGTAGTCGTCTTATTTCGCAACATGATTCACAGACAAAGCAATCACGTCAATCACATTCATTCAACGTCAAGTGTATTCCGTAAACGCGCTAATTATTGAGATGACATGATATGATCTAGCATTCTTAAGACTAAGTGGGATAATAGAGTATCAAATTTAAAGTGTTAACTTATCGATTAAAGTTAATATTGATGGTAAACATCATTTTATAGTTTTATTGTATGTTCTATACGGGGTGAAATTAATATTATTTAAGCGTTTATAGAGATTTTACCTTTCTCAAAGATACGCCGAAAAACGACAAAAAATATTTTAGTTACCTGTACTTTGTGTTGTTTTCAGACCCTTGTGGTTTTGGTAGAAATCGTTTAGTTCTATCACTATGTATATCATTAAAATCCTTTTGAAAGTATAGACCTTACATTAATGTTAATAGCTTTGTCAACATCAATATCAATACTTTGAATATATTTTAGAATGAAAAAATATACAGACTAAAAATACAACATAGCTAAAATGAGCGTAGGCACGTGTAACTAATGTAAATACTGTGAAAGCACGGCTTTCAACAGGTCGAAAGTTCGACGGTCGTTAATTAAACGATCTAAGCCCGCAAGATTGTTGGAAGCAAGCCAACTACGACGAATTGATAAAATTGTTACAAACTACAAACGATTTACATAGAAAATTCTCTATATAATTTATTCGACGGCCTTGTAGTGAAATAGCATATTTTATGTGGGCAAGTAACAGTTGTGAACACCATTCCGCCATTCGCGTGGGTGACACGAGGTAACTAAACATAATTACTATGCTATTAGCGATTAGATACTTTACATTCGCGATTTTATCCAACCCAAACAGACTGGTGAATTAGAGTCTGTCTTCAAATTACACCTCTAATTAATTTCGCAACATACTATTTGTGTTTTTTGCTGGTAGGTGTCGTGAGCACTTCATTGCCGTCTATTATAAATTTCAATAGACACATTCACAGAGGGGTGCCAAGTCGTTAGTGCGACCTATTCTCGCGATGTGTTAACGGTTGGCGTTCGAAAAGTGAATACGTATAGCGCGGCTTAAAATAAATCACTTTATAGATAATGAGGGCGAAAATAAAGTGGCGGAACTCACTCGTCGCTAGTCTGTCTGTGGCCGATAGACTCTTGTGGATTGCAAAGGCTTGGCGGTGCGCCAACACGATCACACTTCACGTAATACCTACGACCGGCACGAGGAGTATTTCCTTTTTCGACCCATATTTTGAAGTCGTGATTAGAAATCTATTTTGTCTGTGGTTTGATTTATGTGACCTATTCATTCATGATGATTGATTGAGCCGTTAAAACACCGATATTTAGTAAACAAGTTCACTTTTACTATAATGCAAACAAACTCCAATACTTATGGTATCATTATTTTAATTACATTAATAACTCTACCTTCGTCGATGAATTTCTTGATGAAGGCCTCCTTCGACTTTACAATTTTGATTTGTTTTGCGCAATCGAATCCCAGTTGTGCCCTACGCCTTTCACGAGTTTCTATTTGCATCTTACCTTAAAATTGAAAGTGTTTCTTTAATAGAGATAATCAGCTTTTCAGCTGTATTAGAAAATAAAAATAAAATGGAAAGTACAACTTGAATAAATACTATAAATTAAAATACATAGATATACGAGTATTTAATAAAATGTCATAATTTTTCGTTTAATCTACAAAAAAGTAATAAAATTGTTTTGGTTAACACATAATGAATAATTTTTTGCGTTTATAGAGGTAGGATTCATCTGGATTAAATTTAGAATATTGTGGAGTGAGAAAATGAATTAAATATTTAGTACCAATAAGGTTGAAATTGCAACTAACATTTCCCTTACCTACCCATCCCCACATTCCGACCATCGACTGCGGCATAGATTCAGTGATAAACAAAGTTACATTCTTTTCAATGTTTTTTGTCATCACTGTTAGGGAAATACGTAGATACCTACCTACTTGGCAAACGTTTGTTACCTTTGAAAATTATCAATATTAACACCTAATGTGGGTTGTAGCATTTGGCTGAGGATCAACAATCTCATGAATTATTTACGAATGTTCAACAGTGTCTCGCTAATTACAATGCCTAATTATTGATATTGTATTAACATTTAAGGCGATAAGTTTACGTAAATATCATGATACTAATAATAATAAACACGTACATTATTACAAGTTATATAGCAAGCGTGTCACATTCGTTACGTGCTTCGTGAAACCCTTTTATTCACCATCTACGATTGGAAAACACCCAAACTATAAAAAATACCTTAAGACCCCAAAGTATTTGCCGAAGGTTCGTCGCCCTCAACCGTGAGGATTTACCTACATGTATAGATTACCGAACAGCCTCTGAGACACCGGCAAAAACGCAATATCGCTCTCCCCCTATAAAACACTCTAATTTAAATAAAAAAGCGGCGCCACCTTCCGTATGTCGGTCCTTTTTTTATTACGAACCTTTTTTATTTTCGGGTCAGCTAGGGATCAAAGGGGCTCTCCCCCGAGAGCCGTGTCCGCCCGCGCCGCTCGCTTCTCTCCTTCTCGCCTCCGTCTGATTTGCGACGATTCCGCCGCGTTCCGATTTGTGAAGAGGGAATAGTCCTCGAATTGGGGACTGTTTGCCTGCCTATTAAAATCACTTACCGTTTTGAGTGCTCCGTTTCGTAATTTAAACGTTTTGTTTTTTGCTAAATCTTTATTTACAATAGACTCACTCGCCTCAAGTAAGTAGTCTGCTATTATTTCTAATCGAGTTTTGATATTATATACAATGTTGCGATATTAATAGTGTACTACTATCTATATAAAACTGTCTAAATACCGAAGTTCGTTCGCTAACAATACAAATAGGTAATCAATTAGCCTTTTCGGTCAACCGAATTACAAATCCGAAACGGCGTGAATGGAATTTAGGGGTGGTAGATAACGTGGCAAAACTGTTCCCCCATTGTGTTTACGCGAAGTGCGTGAACTCGTCGTCAATAGGCGGCCGAGTGTGGAGAGTGGTGTATGAGCGTGGAGCGGAAAACTCGACGCTCAGCTATCGGTGTGACGGTGGGTAAATCATTTCTCGTTCTGATTTTATTCCGCATCGTTGGTCCCATAGGGCGGCCCCCACCAATATAATATATAGCTTTTAGATATAAGCTTCCCTGCTCTGGCTATATGTGGCACAAATGTTGACATTGAAACAATATTCACGTAATATCTGTTCCGACAGATCGATACGAGACGCGAGACGTGTAGGCCCATATCATAAATACACATATTGAAATCCGATAACAAATCTTATTCCAATGTTTACGATGTGTACATTTTGTAATTGAAAAGCCGTATCGTTGACATAAGCATGTGGAATAAACAAGAGTATTATGTGTATCGTTTATGCAACATTATCTAGAGAGATAGGTAAGCAAACAAGAGCGTTCGCTGTCTAAATAGGGCGTATCTGTTTCGCCGTCGATAGCTTTATAAACAAGCGAGCCGTGAAAACATTTCTATCTAGTTTACGCCGGGTGTCGCGCCCTCTGATAAAAATTACGACGGGAATAAATCGGGGTGCGGCGCGGCCGGGGACAGGCGGGGAAACATGAATTTGTCATTTTTTCCCAGGCACGTTCGCGACGGTGATAAATATTGCATTGCAGGCCCTTGGCGTTTCTTGCGTGTCGTCGTCGCGCCGCTCCCCGAGCGCTCCAACGCCGCCGATGCGACGCGACGAGCCGCATTAACTTTTCCCCTGTCGCTTAACCGTAGCTCCTTGTTTTTCAACGCGAGGAAGTGAGTTAGGGGCCATTCTGTCGTCGCTTCCAATGAAATTATGTAATCAGTTTTACGACTCATCCGGCTCGAGTTTTTCGTATGTTTTTTTCTTTTTGTTTGAGGTTCTGATGTTGTTTGTCAAGTAAAGAGCATGTATTTTTTATCACAATAAAATGAACATAATTTTCTTTTGTATTCAGATTTACAATAGTAGGTGGCCTTTAGTTGTCGAATAAGAGTATTTTTAACCTACTTCAAAAAGGAGGTTCCAATTTTGTTGTATTTTTTTTATATTAGTTATCTCGTACCTTTGTCATTCCTAAACCGATTTGGAAAATTATTTTTTATTTGAAACAATATACCTATAGATTGGTCTCATAGAAATTTTATCAAAATCGGTTCTGTAAACAGTTTAGTTTTTGAATTAAAAGGTTTTGCCACCATTGAAATCAGTTTTTGTTTTTATGAAGCACAATTTAAATATGGGTTTAAGTGTCAAAGCCTGTGCGATTTTCATATGATTTATCCGCTGACGATAAAATTTCCCGTGGTGTCAACCACCTTTGTATTTCTTTTATAACAGTCAAGAGTCTGCGGTTGTGTGTGTAGACCTTTAACTAATATTTCTTCATATAGAAAAACATTTTGTACCGCTGATAGAGTATGCTTCTGTGCGAAATAATCATGTTTACTCAATTATAGTTTAAACAATTAAGTTAAAAGTATAACACGTGTTGGCATCGCGTGTCGACCCACTTCGAAGCTTCCTGCCTAATGGTGCGCGACACCCTACACCCTAAGCC